GTTCGCTTTATTTTTTCGATACATCAATGGATGCTATTTTCTTAACATTACGGTGCGAGCACGCGACTCTAACACAAAAAACGCAGTTTAAACTGTCGTCGGGGATCGCGGCCGCCGCCATGTTTCAATGTTGTTGACAGAAGACAGGGCAAACGATGCACGCGCTCAACGTGAATATAGTGAGCGTTTGCACCAATGTAACCCTCTACTCAAAAATGTCGAGGGTTGTTTGAAAAAAATGCCGACCGTGAAGTTTTTTTTCGACGTAGAAGTTCTCGGTCGGTCGGGTTACCAGAAACACACTACTTTTTTTTCTACGCCTGACGGGCAGCAGCTCGATTTCCTTCTTTAACTGCCAGAGTGATCGCTTTTAGTTTAAAAGCTGCATCATATGCTTTTCGTCTGGTATTCTCCATGTTGATCAGGGTTAGAAGAAAGACTGAAATAAGGAAGTTGTGATTACCGGTAATCATACAATTTTATTGGACCCCTGTGTACTACTCAGTCATTTTATTGGTCGACTGTTGCCGAGTAACACATCCCCCCCGCTATGGCAAAAAGAGCGGAAGTTGTGATTAATCATACAATCTCATTGGACCTCAGTGAAAGACTCATTCATTTTATTGGTCCATGCTTTTCCCGTGATGGGAAAAAAAAAAATTAAAAAGCCGCTTCATATTACACGCCGCAGTGTTGAAAGTGTGGAAAAAAAGTAGCGGCTTGTAATCCGGACTTTACGGTAAATAAAATTACATGGCCTAAGTATAGTTTTTTTAAAATTGTATGAAGTACTATCACGACAGTCACACGGTGACTACTGAGCGGATGAACTTTCCCACAGCACTGATTGGACAAGTAATGTAAAGTGATTGTCTCCAACCAGCGATGGCCAAGTGGGCGTGTCATGACTGATATCTTGAGTCGGGTGTGTCTTAACCTCCATGGCAGAGGCTTCGTCGAACCCCTGAGACCGATTGACCGAACCCAGGTTAAGAACCACTGGTCTAGAGGAATTATATGAGTGCCAATATTCAGCCAGTAAATGTGGCAAATTTGTGGAATCTGTGGTAATACCATACCCTTTTCAAGGACACAATCTGCTTTTATGTTCCCAAGGTAGAAAGCGCAATGCTACAGAAGCAGCTAATGCAAGTTGTCGAAAAGGTTGAAGAGGAACGCTGTTATGTGTTTTTTTTTAAATTTATTTATTTATTTAATAAAAATAATCACATTCGAAACACCACACGTGGCTTTTTTGAAGTGCTGACAAATTTGGATATCATTGTGTCAATGTTACATTCCAAGAGATGTAAACATATCTTTCATGAAGTTTTAATACCTTAAGTATATGTATTTATCTTCTTGAAAGTATGGCTCATTAGAAATTGTTCTCAAGTAGTGGCTAATCGCTGTAAAATACTGTAAACTCGGCTGTGGCTAATACTGCTAGTGAATTTAACCCTTTTATGCACCCTGTAACTTGATAACATGAGAAGCTGTCCACTGTAGTAACCGCTCTCCACGAAAGGGTTAAATTCACTGTTAATGTCTTTTGACCAAATTCACTTCAAATATGAAACCTAGATGAGGCCAAGCCCTGCCTGTCGTTCTGTTGCTCGATTCGCTCTTTTCCCACTGTCTGTACCTTCCAAACGTTGTTCAGTGCAACTGCGTTTTCAATCAATCAATTTTCAATTTTTATCACAACACAAATAGAAACCGGGAGAGTGGGTCAAACTCACCTGTTACACAGCCAAAATGTTCCAGCATGGTACCATGAAGCTGAACAGGACAGGTTTTTGTTGTTGTTTTGTTTAATTTTTTTTTCAAAAACAACAAATAGATTGTCGTGTGAATTGTTCATGACCTTAACTGAGTGCCTCAGACCTCTGTTCACTCGCTATCAGGCTTCATCTTCCCAGAGCAACCTCGTCCAGCTTGGCCTGGATGACAAGGATCAGATCAGAGTCTACCATTACTGATGATAACAGCACTGCGGAGTCCTGCTGGGTTGCGCTATCTGAAGATTTTGAACAACAGAGGATAGCACAACTCTAAGCTTCTCAAATTCAGTGGTCCCTAACATTTTTTTGCATCACGGACCAGTTGAGACAAGTACCTGCTATTTGCTGACCAGCTGGATGTTTGTCAGATGCGGGCTGCTGGGGCAGTGGGTCGATTTTTTTTCTTTTTCCCCCAGTACAGCACATCCATCCATCCATCCATTTTCTGATCCGCTTATCTTCACAAGGGTCGCCGGGGATGCTGGAGCCTATCCCAGCTGTCTTCGGGCAGTAGGCGGGGGACACCCTGAACCGGTTGCCAGCCAATCGCAGGGCACACACAGACGAACAACCATCCGCGCTCACACTCACACCTTGGGACAATTTAGTGTTCTATCAACCTGCCATGCATGTGTTTGGAACGTGGGAGGAAGCCGGAGTACCCGGAGAAAACGCACGCAGGCACGGGCGAAACGTGCAAATTCCAAACAGGAAGGCCACAAACCCGGTACCTCTGCACTGTGACGGTCAATGCGCGAACTATGTGCTAATTATTTTATTTTGACTTCAAGATGGCGCCGCGAGAGTGGCTGCCTCTCCAGCAGCTCCGATATTTTGTTCTTCAACTTCTTCCTTTCATAATTTTGCTGCTGTGAATTGGGAATTTCTCCATTGCGAGACTAATAAAGGTTTTCTTATCTTAACGAGTCGTCGTCCACCGGACCCTCCATTATAACACATGTAGAATAATGTAAGATAATGATACCGTGAACAACTACAAATGGACACCTCAGGAATAATGAATACACCTTAAAGTCTAACATCATAATGTTTACCGTAATTTCTGGACTATAGAGCACATCCGATTATAAGCTGCACCCACTACATTTTTAAAGGAAGAAACATTTTGTACACACATAAGACGCACCTGTCTTAACGGCAGGTGCCCACATTGTACCATATTTGCAAAGAAAGTCGGTACACAGAAAGTGTTTTCAATATTTTTATAACATACCTTAAATTCTTTTTTCCAGACAGTGCATGTAACGCAGCAGCAACACAGCAGTACCACGGCAGTAAAAAAGAACAAACAGGGCTGGTTAAAAAAAACATAAAAGTCACTGTTCGCTGTCTTCATCTTCCTCCTGTGCACTGAAGCCATGGAAGTCTTCCTTCTCAGTGTTGGATTTGAATAGCCCCAGATTGTCACACACTTTCTCAGTCCCTCTTCCGTTGTCGCTTTCAGTGTCATTCTCATTCTGAGGCAAATTCACTCCTGAGCGTGTGCTGTCCTCTCCGTCACACAGCAGACCCACTTTGCAAAACCTGTTGGTCGCGGTGGATTTTTTGCCATACTGCTCCACGTTGACAGGATCCACTGTCAGACTTGTGCAAAAATTGCTCTTCTCATACATACGCCTAGTTTTGGTAAACGATTTCTCTCCGCTGGTCATCCAAACCTTTAACTCGGCGCGCCCCTTTAAATGCTCGATTCACACGAATGTCAAGTGGCTGCAAATATTTTGTTTTTCCCCCCAGGAATGACAGCCGGAATGGAGTTTGTCCTTTTGATGGCTGCTTTCACACAGTCTGTAATATGAGTCCTCATGCTGTCCAAAACGAGTAATGCTTTTTTTCTATGAAAAAATCCTCCCGGTCGCTTGCTGTAACACTCGGTCAACCATAGCTTTATGAGGTTTTCTACCATCCACCCTTTGTGGTTAACTTTCACGACGATGTCTTTCGTGAGCTTTTCTTTTGGCATAGTACCGGTAATCTGTTTAAAAATTACCATTGGTGTAAACTTCAATTCGGACGCAGTGGAGCCCAAAACACAGGTGAAGTGTGTCCACTCGTGGCCGGTCCTTTTCAATATGACAGATGCTTCACCTATTCTTGTTAACGGTCCTAGTGAGGGGCAAGTCAAACGTCAGCGGTACTTCATCCATATTTATGATGCCGTCTGGTCGGGTGGAATTCTCTGCTATCTTTGTTTGAATGAATTTGTGAAAATTTGTGTCTTGTTCCTCGTACTCGGGAGGGAGTGGCTGACAAAGAGTTATCCGTGCCCTGATGGACGGACCTTTTCATTTCATAAATCTGAGACACCACGACGGTCCTCCTTTAAAATCCAGATTCTCTTTTTGGCGGCGTTTGTTTTGGCTTTCAGTCTGATCTGCACAGCGGAAACACCTTGGCCATCTCTTCTATCTGTGTTCACCCAGTCTTCAAGAAAGTTTTTATTACCTCTGAAAGCATCTGTCGTCTTTTTACACTGCTCCAGTTCTTCCCGCTGCCGTTTCCAACATCTCACCAATGCTTAATTGATGCCAAATTTACGTGCATTAGCTCTTTTCCCTTCTTTATCAGCCAGCTTGATTGCTTTTAACTTAAAAGCTGCGTCATATGCATTTCTTTTCGCATTTTCCATGGTGAGGGTTTATGTTAATGTTATTCATGCACGAAGCAACAAAAAACATAATACAGTAATCCCTCGTTCATCGCGGGGCTTATGTTCCAAAAAGAACCCGTGATATTATCACGTGATAAGTGAAATCTGTGAAGTAGGATTTATTTAAAAAAAAAAAAAAAAAAAGTGAGGCGTTTCAATGTGTGTATGTTTCACATACAGCACATTTGACAATAAAGTTGTACTTGCTACTTGATAGCTTTATTTTTTTACAGTTATTATACAATACTGAACTGTGCATACAATACAGAGGCGATTGCTCTCAGACTGCAAGGGAAGCTCAGCTCCCCCTAAAATGTCAAAAAGTACGTACAATTGTGTGGACATGTCATTGACTAAATATGCGCTACAACGCGCTCAACTTTTGTTCCGAATCAGCTTCTTATTACTGGTTACGAACTCTCTTCTCATTCATTCGCGCAGCTTCACTGTGCTTTAAACCAGGGGCCCCCAACCTTTTTTGCCCCACGGACCGGTTTATGTCAGACAATATTTTCAGGGACCGGCATTTAAGGTGTGGCGGAAATAATACAACGAAATAATATGGTATGAGCTGCATGAAAACTGTGGCGTTTTCGAAATATAATAAACACAAGGAGCGTCTAATCTGGCCGCAACACTCCCATCGCTATGGCAATGTTTAATGCCTTCAAAATACAACGCAAATTCCAAGTGCATGAAAATGACGACTCACCACAGCACTGAGCTTGATTTTCTGCAACCAGACGGTTCCATCTCGGGGTAATAGGAGACAATGACACCTCAAGTGTGTGGTTTATGTCCAGTCTACTTCGTAATTTTGTTTTCGTCGCCGTTG